AGGCTAAGAAGCTTATCTGAGGCCATACAATCCATGGAGATCATGGCAAAGAGTTTTACCTTCTTTTTGAGGGCAATGGATGTTACAGACTTGGTAAACACTGAGTGAATGAGTGAGTATATTATAAAAATATTTAAGAAGACCAATGATTATTCAGGTTAAGAGGAAGGAAAGAGCCAGGAAGAATACCAGAATACCAGCAGATTACTGGGTAGAATATAAAAGCCTGGTACTTGAATAGAAAACAAGGTGAAGGGGCCTCATTATGGAGAAGAGTGTGTATGTAGCTTTGGACATGAGCTGCTAAGATGTTTGGGAGGCAATTAGACATAGTAGCTCATGAGCTACTATGAGAATTTACTCTTGCTCAGTGTTCCAGCCAATTCATCTTGGCTCTTTTAACAATGGTTTTCTTGCTCTAAGATTCTATACAAGGCAGCTTGACCCTTCAGTCCTAATATACTGCCATTTGTACTTCTTTGGAGATGGTGTACCTTGAAGCAGGACAGTGGCTCAGAATTGCTTTCCTAGCAGCAATGGACTTATTGTCATACTTTTTTTTTTTTAAACTGGACTCTCTTGTCCATAATCATGATAGGTTCAGTAGTGAATAAAGCCATCATTACATCATCATTATCCCAGATCATTTAGCTCATTTAGATCAGATCCAAGGCTCAGGAATGGGGACAGATTTTTATTTAGCTTCTTGTCTGTGGCAGCCACCCAGTGAATATGACTTATTTAGTCTGTTAAGAGCAGTATTACATACATCCTTTTGCCTTCTTATTGATTTGTGCATTTTTCTCCATTTTTACAGGCAAAGGGTTGCCTGGTTTGGTATTTGCTGCAGATAGCAGACACAATGGGACTTTGTGACCGTGGGTGTCTTTGGTGTCTTTGGTCACTCTGGTGTCAGTCATTATGCCCAGCACTGGTCACATGGCTGTCTTTCTGCCAGTGCAGACAAAAAAGGATGTTTCTGGCAACTGAAGATTCAATTCTGGGCAAAAGAGGAGAAACCTTCTTGATAATTAATGACCCAAATGGAAATGTTTTTGCCTCAGTGTAAATGTAGGGCAGTAGAACAGTGAGTCCCAGTGAGACTTCTTCAGAAGTTCAGTCTTAGGAAGTCCCTCTGAAAAGACATGCTCATGGTCAAATATGTGAAATTTAGAACATCTTATCTCTCTCTTAAAAGGTCCTTAATTATTTATTGGTGGAACCAAAATGTCCTGCAAGAAAAAGCCGGTTGTTCAACTTTGTTTAGCCTGGTGTTTTCTCAACATATTTAGCCATGGGGCTTAAAAAAATACAGACATTTAAGTACCTCATGTGCTTAGTGCTTTGTGGAATGTACTTTGGGAAATATTGCCTGTTGAATTTATTGTAAAGTTCAACTTTTCCCCTTTCTTTTCAAGTTTGTTAGGGTGAATGCATAGAAAGACAGCTTCTCTAGAGCAAAGAAGAGAGAAGCAGAGACCTAGTGGTTGAGGAGACTTATAGGAGCCCCACTCACTGGCTAGTCCATGCAATTATGTGGAGATCTTCAAATTCATTTTAGTAAGCCAGAGCCATTTATACTTAGTAGTGTCATGTTAAAGAATCCCAGTTTATGATATTCATAAATATGATATTCTTATGCTATTCATAAGAGAATTGCACATTGAGTATCCTTCAGAAATGCTTGAGACCAAAAATGTTTTAGAGTTTTTTCAGATTTGGTTATATTTGCATATAAATAATATGGTATCTTAAAAGTGAAGCCAGAGGGGCTGGGTAGGTGGCTCAGTGGTAGAGCGCTTGCCTTGCATGCCTGAGGCCCTGGGTTTGATTCCTCAGCACCACATAAGCAAAAAGAAAAAAAGCCAGGAGTGGTGCTGTGGCTCAAGTGGTAGAGTGCTAGCCTTGAGCTGAAGAGCTGAGGGACAGCGCTCAGGCCCAGAGTTCAGACCCCACGACCTGACCAAAAAAAAAAAAAAAGAATAAGAGAAGATGTAGTTGATCTTACTCCTTTGGCTTTAATTTTTTTATGAAAAGTTTACTTTTCTAGGGACAGTAATATTAAAATATAAAAATATTAAAAAATTCTGCCTTACCCAGTGGCAGAATTTGAGTTGTGTTTTGGTGGCTGACAGAATTTGACCACATAAAAGTTTTAGATGATCACAATTATCTTCTAGTTTCTTAACTATACTATTAATATAAGTGACTTATAAAACTAGAACATATGAGATACCTGAAAATGCTTTCTCTTGAACTTTTGAAATACTCAGTTTATCAACCTGTTTTTTTTGGGGGGGCATTAGCTATTGATAAGTTTGATGGCAGAAAAGGAGAAATGTAATGAAGTTTTCCAAAATGCTTGTCTGTATGAACCAGAACTGTATGAAAAAATGGATGGGAATGCTGATTTGTGCTGTCATTTTAAGACTTTCACCAACTAAAGTACACAATTCTTTTGCCACATCTTTCCATATTGTTCCTTTGCAGTAAGAATGATATATATGACTGTTGTGCTTTAAAATTCTACTCCTTTTTTCTTCATTTGTTCCGTTTACTTATTAGGACTGTTATAAGAAAGTATCCTTGCATCTTTTTAAAAAGTGACAAGTGGCCTGGTGCTGATGGCATAGAGCTTGAGAAGCGAAGAGATGCCCTTTGGCCCAAGTGTCCACCCCCCCAGGCCTTCTAGGAACTTTGTTTCTATCCTTTCTCATCTCAGTTTTAGTCTTTCATAGGCAAGCCATCTAAGACCAGAAACATCTCATGTTTTGTTTCCCCAGCCAGACTCTAAAGGAAGAATCGACGGGGAGAATTTAATACAGGTTGTCTATGGTCCCTTGGGAAGTGGGGCCTTATTAAACTGTGAGACCAAATGACTTTCCCCATAATTTTTTTTTAACAGATTTCACCAGAGTCAAGGTTACTGCCACTGGATCATTTGGGAGAGTTTTACTTTATCATCTTTTTTTTAGGAACTTAAGATTTTAAGGCAAATAACAGAAACTGTTAGGGCTAGTTAGTTTAGTAATGATGGACAATTATTTTAAACTATGCTGTTTCTAATCTGATTTAAGAAAAACTCCAACATACTCTAAGATAGAGTATTAGAGCTTTGGCAATATCATGTAAAATATCTATAGGTTCTGTGCTAGAAATCATACAAAATATAAATAAAAGCTTTCTTTCATTGCAATGGTTATTAATACAGTAATTGCTTTATATTTGAATCCCTATAATGACTTTGTTTAAAGGAAGTTATGTCATAAAAATACCTAATATTGAAGGTATTTTTACAGTTATTGGATAATAATAGATCAAAATGTATAATTTATGAAATAGGAAAAGCCATTATGACAGTATGTATTCCACTAATGTAAAGAAAGTGCTGCATATAGTTCTGTGTGGTGCTACTCAGGAGGAAAGAGCCATATCACTGCATTACAAATTAGTTTGCTTCTAATTTTGCAGGCTGATGACCATACTGCCTCAAACCAAATCTTTTCCCTGGAAATGGAGTGATTGCATGACAGACTCTATGAACCATGAATATGTCAACAACTCATGGACCAGGCCTTGCTTAGCAATTAGTCTTTGGGGGATTTATTCAGAAATCAGGCAACACTAAATCAGAGCTTGTTGGGAATTTTGTGATTACCATTCATGTCTGGAGCATGAATCTGGATTAGAACAAAAACAAATCTGTAAAGGAAGAAAAGCTGTGACTAATAATGGCAACACATGCACGTGCACACACTCATACGCGCACACGCGCACACACACACACACACACACACACACAGAGGCTAGAGAACACTAAAGAAACAGCACATCCCCAGAAGACAGCAAGAAAATACTTCTTTCTCCTAAAGGAGGCCAATGCTTCCCTAACTCCAGCCATTTAAACATTAACATCCCAATTTTGTCATAACTCCTTACTGTCTGCAGTCTGATTTACTCAATGTATTTTATTAACTGTTTTTCTTTGAAAACCCATTTTTGTTTTAAATAGTAATGAGTATGATATTATGGTCATGAGTCTGATATCATTGTGCCTATTAAATTTGTTGTCCTCGCGTACAGAGGAAATGGCAGGCAATACTTTAAATATTAGAAATATTATCTTACCATCTAAAATCACTTTGCATACTAGCTGGGAAAAACCCTCAGTCTGGCTGAGAATGATCTGACACCCTCATTCTCATTATTATCCCTTCACCCAGGGACCTGGAACCACATCACATGCTGGGGAATTGAAATCAGGTCTGTTCTCCCTGTAGATACTAACACTGGAAGGCTGCTTCAAAGGAGACTGCTCAGAAAGCCAGGCTTGCCCTTTTCAATGACCAGAATCAGCCACTCACAAATTTCTTTCTTAGTCTACACACATGTCTGGGGAATCATTATATTGTAAGAGTAAACAGCTTTCCATATCACTATATAGCAGTAGGGAACGTGCCACAGTGAAGGCCAGCCCGTTGTCAAGATTCACATGAGTTTGTAGGTTAGCACTTGAGAGACTGTCCCACCTGGTACAGATCTGGTAGAACTTCAGCAGGCCCTTTGAAGAAAAGGGCCATTTATTTTACAAGTTGCATTGCTTTATTCCTGGGGCATGTTTAATCATGCCCATTGAAACTAGGCTGAGACATCCTAGGATCACTTGTAGCTTTGCAGTCATGCTGTGTTTTTGTTTGTTTGTTTTGTTTTTAAATCGTAGGAACCTAAGTAAATAAGTAAACGAGGGAGGGAAGGAAGGAACCAAGGAAGGAAAAAAGGAAAGAAAGTTAAAAGTGTGAGAAAGGACAGAAACAAATGAAAAAGAACTTGGCCTTCTCCAGCCCCTCTTTCCCCAAAGAGCTGGCTATCCATATCGTCTAAAAATTGGTGAGGTCTGGAAACTCCAATCAGACCCTGGGAGCTCTGAGATTCAGGATGTGTCTAAGTTTAAAGGGATGTTTGCTTCTGATATGAACATTTTTCTTATACTTTTATTATAGAAGATGATGTGTCAAATGTACAAATAATGTGTGCCTGGTGCCAGAAAGTGGGAATCAAGCGCTATTCCCTGAGTATGGGGAGCGAGGTGAAAAGCTTCTGCAGCGAGAAGTGCTTTGCGGCCTGCCGGCGAGCCTACTTCAAAAGGAACAAGGTAAGCCCAACTTAGAGGCCACGTGGCCACCTGCCGCGTGCGCATGCGCCTCATAGCCACTAGCCTGAGATGCTGGGCCCTTTCACGTGTGCATTTGTCCTCTTGTTCTGTCGGTTTCCTCCTCTGTCATGCTTAACCTTTTGGAATTAAGGAATCCTTTTCTAACGAGTAACCTGTTCTTCTGCTTCTCTTGGCTTGTGTTTGAATTCTGAGAGGGTGAATCCGGGGAGGACACCAGGATCACAGCTATGTCCCTATCAGAGATGCCTTTCCAGCAGGACAGGGCACACGTAAGAGCCCACGGGAGCGAAGTGGCACATCTGTCTTGGAAGAGCCAAAACACTAGCAGCAGAAGCCTGGTTAGAAAGCTTTATTCCCCCTACGTTTAATTCTTGTTCTCAGTGGGAATATTGCTGCTGCTCTTTCCAAAGCCTGCCTCACAAATTTTAGTTAAGAAAAATGCCAAATTAAAAAAAAATCAAATCTCGAATAATGAGGACATTATGAAGATGTAAGCTAACATATACTACACGGCTAGACATTTGTGAGAAGCCTGGTGGGTAAACACAGGAGCAGCCATAATTATAGAATTGTTTTCTTTTGTTTTAAGTTATCCTAGCTCTGAAAATGTCCTTTTTGAATAGCATTAGCCACCGTTGGTGAAAAGTGGGATGTATGCTGTTTTTCAGTCACACACACGTGCACACAGACACAGACACACGCACACACACACGCCACACATGCACCCCTAAATTTTTAGATCTCAAAGAACTGTTATAGCATTTTGCCACCAAATACTAAAATAAATTGCTAGTGCTTGGTTACTTTTCATTGATCTGTAAAACATCCTTAATTCATAAATCCATGCACATTTTGCTAAGCATTTCCATTTCAATAATACAAGATCCAAATTTATCTTTTCATGAAGTAAACACTTACTATTTTAAAGTCTCATATTTGCAGTCTTGAAAATGCTAATCATGGTCGCACTACTTTGCAAGAAGCACTGTTGCAGTAAATTATTTCCTGCAAATTTGGGTCACATTCATCCTGCCAAAAACCATAATGCCAAAAGAATTAGGCTGCAGAATTCAGCGGGGTGGAATTTTAGTAGCAGTCTCAAAGAATTAGACTCATAATCTTCACCGGAACAGGGAGGCAAGTAAGGAAATGGTTTCTGGAATTCTTTGAGGACAGGCAATCGCTCACTTTCCCTCAGGAAGGGCCAGTGAGGCTGGGGAGACGTTGGGAAAAGTGACACAAGAGAGACACGTTTTGTTTTAATATGGGGGGATTAAAATGATCTCCAAGACCCTGAGGCTTCCATTTTGAATGCTGAACACAGGGCTAACAATCCCAGGAGTGGGTCTAAAGCTTTCTTCTTCAAAGCCCTCCTTACCACAACAAAATAGTTTGCATTCCATCACAGAAGATGGCTATAGAACAGGGCTTTTTGTCTTTCTATAATATGGAAGGGTTAAGGGTCTGAATCTTGATGGGCTGCCTGTAGTGAATAAAATCAAGCAAGATACATTTGTCACAACCCTGTCAGTACATATTACAATTTGCAAAATGATTTTACTTTGTAGTATGCTTTTGAAGAAAGGCACTTCATACCATTTGGAAAGACAGTCTAGAATATGATACAATATGTAGACTTTAAAATGTCATTATAAAGTTTAAGGTCAAACTGAATTTAAACTTCCATAGTATGTACTTTTGAAAAATGGACAACTGGGAGCCAGGTTAAGACATAGTATTTGGAATACTTACAATAGGTAAAATCAACAGTGGGAGGAGGGACGTCAAATTTTACTTTCTGCCAGGAGCTACTGGGGTAGGTCTTTGGCCTTTTGCAAAAACTAGGAGTTTCAAATGTTTTCTGTTAAGCCGGTGGCTGCCTGCTTTTCTGTCGCCCATTAGTACACATACAATACCTGTCTTCTCTGTCATCTTCACTCTTATTTTTACATTCTAGCACTTGCCGTGCTATGCCTGTTCATTTTCTTTTCAAATAGAGAAATAAGCTTGTCACATCACCTGCTGGATTCTTTATTTTTTAATTTTATGAGTGCCCATCTCAGAAACAATATTATATTGTATTACAATTAACATGTACAGCTGCTGCATTTCTGTTAACTGATAGTATTTTGTGGTCATTTCATTTAAGGCTTAGATTTCTTAATGGCTCATATTAGATCAGCCTCTACACTGCCATTACTAAGAACTGCAGTAATAAGCTCCAAACTGTTTCCCACTGAAGACAATAACAAATAGTTACTTCTTTTCTTGTATCATTTAACAAAGTCCTTGGTCCTCATCATTATAGATGAGGTCTTAATCTTGGAAAAAAGGAAATATTCTTCTCTATAACAAGCCTTTTTTCCTTGTTAAATTTTGTAGTTTTAAATATTGAAACTAGATAGATTATAGAGTAAATGGTACCTGTGCAGAATAGAATTTTATTTTAGGTATAGAGTAGATTTTTTAAACCGTGTAAAATTAACTATGCTGCAAATTATGCTTGTAATGGCAGCCATTTGTTGCTGGATAGCATGCTGGGTTCTAAAAATGGTCTCTAAGTTGAACCCCAATTGCATGCATAACTTTACAAAGGAAAATCCTAGTAGAAAAGGTAGCTAATTAGGAGTAGCATTCCACTGACCTCTCTTTTGTGTCTAAGCAACACCTGCATTTGTGAATATACATGGGACAGCTGTGCCTGTGGTACTGCACTTTCCCATCACAGAGATTTGGGTAGAGAGGCAGACATTGCTTTGCTACAAACAACAACAACAACAACAACACACACAAAAACAAGTGAACAACAACAACAAAAACCAAGGACAAAAAATAGTTCAACTCTCAAAATGAAGATCCATTGAAATGAACTCTTTAAATTTTATTTCTTTCTGAAGCCTTTCTTCTGTTGAATGGAATAGGCTGAAAATGTCACATCTCTCACAAACCCTGGCACTAGGAAGTAAGGTATGAGCAGTGGAAGCCAGGTTAACCCCTTATAGCATGTAGGATGTATTTCTTAAATTGTATTTAAATTTCTGCTTAAGAGTCATTTGGATTGCTACAAGTACATAGGCATTTTGCAAACTGATTCTGCTAAAAACTGCTGGGAGAGACCTGTGAGTCACAGCTGTATTCATAAGGAATCTAACTAATTACAAGTTTACACATTTCAGGATGCTGCTCTGAGAAATGTATAGTGGTAATGCATAATATATTTGGCAGAGTCCTGATTTCCATAAGGCTCACTTGCTGGCTCAAAAGTTTTGAACCAGAGTCTGTGGAGGGGGAAAGCTTATGAAATGTATGAGCATTGGATGAACAATGGGATATCAATCTCATTATTTGAGACACCAGAGGATTTTCAGGGGACTTATTCTTTTCTCAGGCCCCTTTTGAGACATTTTTATGACCTGCTGTACCTGTACCTTTTTAAGGTACAGAAAGAACTAAGAACACCTTTAGCTCACTGGTTAGCCTTCCTAGGAGTTAGAAAGTTGCAAAGCCTTAGCAATTTTGCAAGAGATGCAGAACTGCCCAAATCTTTTGACACTAATTTTACTTTGCACAATATAGGTGTTGAAGATATACTCTGTAACTATTATCTCTCTAAAATGAGAGTAACAATTCCACAAATACTCATTTCCACCTAGACTGTATTTGATCTTTTTCCATTTGCATAGGAAAGATCCTGTTGTCTAAACTAATATCCAGAACTCAAACAGGTAGTCAAAAACTCAAGCAAAATGGCCAACATAGGCAAGGAAAAGGATGATTATCTAAAGTTTGTAATGTTCTGAAGATGAACAGCATTGATTACTTAGGAATAAACACAAATTCCTAGGAGCATCAACATTTTGCTCCCCCATCCTATAATAAATAGAAGTACATCTTCATATTACAACATTGCTATTCCCAGTAGACGATGTAGAAGTTCCTTACAGGGATATACACAGATATGGATATGAGTGTTTATTTCAAAAAAGAGGATTATATAGACAGAAACATTTGCAAAGGATGCTTTCCAAATAATTGAAATAATCACAGATATTCAAAAGGAAAATGTTATATTATAATAAACATTTCTTTTACTGTCCAACTATATTCTGGAAATAGCAATCTTTTATTTAGAGATCTCTTTTGGAAGATCTCATTGCTAATTATTACGTATTTTCATGATAGTTGGAATTATATTTTACTTAGACATAGAGTATTTGTCTTTTGATTAAACTTGGATATATTCTAGGTAAGATTTCTTGGTTTCAAACTTAATTATAGAATATAGTGGTGCAAAAAAAAAGCAACAATTGGCATGTAATTCAGTGATTAACCTGTCTACTTTTTTCCCTTTAAACACCTATAAGATTTAATTTGCAAAATAGCTATCATTCATGAAGGTTGGAGAGGGCATTAAGAAATTACTTGCAATTAATGTCTTCTGATTACCTGAAGTTCAGGCCTCAGGCTTACTTTGTTAGTTACTTGTACATATTCTTGATCCACAAGTAAATGAGGCCAGTGGGCCCAGGGTTTTTCTTGCTTTTATTGGGTGCCAGCAAGCCTGGTGGGTCTGTCTACTTAAACCTTGGCCTGCAGGATGGTGGCCTTAACTCTGCAGTGTCTGTTGGAACAGTGATGTAGGCCTGCTCAAGGCCTTGCATATGATGTGGTCTCCTTATCCCAAGGCTTTAGTTTGCAGGTCAGTGGCTGAGTTCCCGCCAGACATGGCAAACCGGGGTGTCCTTAGGAAGCTCTGGGAAAAGAACAACAAACCAAACTGTTTTCTTGTTATCTCATATTTTGACATATGGAATGGAATATTGTTGAGCTTCTGTGAGAGTCTGTGGAAAGCAATAGCAGAGGAGGAAAAATGTTAGCTCTGGGAAATGCATTGGGAATGGGGAAAGTGAAGGGAAGTTCTGACTGGTGAAGTAAGGTGTAGGTCAGCTTCAAGTATAAAACACAGACTCTTGAGGAAA